TCTCTCTCTCTCTCTCTCTCTCTCTGTGTATATTATAATTTAACTCGCTTGGTCTTTTACGTTCAGTCACGGCTTCCATTGCCTTTCTTAGGTAGATTGCACACCACCCCTCGTTTGTGCTCTCTCTCTCTCTCTCTCTCTCTCTGACAACACTGTCCTAGCTTAGCCTAAGCCTCAGCGAAGACAAAACAGAGCCAGTGCATGCTTATAGTGCGGTTAAATTTAAATTCTCTCTTCGACAACAGTGTCCTAGCTTAGCCTAAGCCTCAACGAAGACAAAACAGAGCCAGTGCATGCTTATAGTGCGGTTAAATTTAAATTCTCTCTTCGACAACAGTGTCCTAGCTTAGCCTAAGCCTCAACGAAGACAAAACAGAGCCAGTGCATGCTTATAGTGCGGTTAAATTTAAATTCTCTCTACGACAACAGTGTCCTAGCTTAGCCTAAGTCCCGGTATCAGCCCAAAAACAAAAGAGAGCCAGTGCATGCTTATACTCATAGTGATAGTGACAGTGTAGTACTTTAACCTCTGTCTTCGACAAGACTGTTCTAGCTTCCAGGACATGACAAAACAGACTGTCAGGTCAAATTTAGCATCTCTATTCGACAAGACTATAGATCTTAGATTGGCCTGCGCCGTGAGGAAGACAAGACAGAGGCTGGGGAAGTCAACAGTTCACACATGTCATCACACCGCTGGAAAACTGCAGTACCTCACTTTTTGGGGACAAAACCAGGTTTGGGAGAAAATTTCAAAAAACAAAAACAATAAACAAAACAAAAAAATGGAAGGGGGGGGGGTGCTTCTGTAAAAATCTGGGAGGGCTATTATTGGTCTATGAAACTTATAATGCTCTGTATCGCAATTTTAACTCCTTCCAATTTGTTTTAAATTGATGTGTACCGCAAAACGTGTGTTAAAATCTTACCAAGACTGAACAAAGTCATTCTGGGCCAACTGCTTGACCACTATACGTCATGTTCTGATAGAAGTTATACGAGGACTCCCGTGGCCTAGAGGTTAAGGTGTTGGCCTCTCATTCAAAAGTCGCGGGTTCGAACTCCGGTAGAGACCGAAAAAAAAATTCTTCTCTAACGTTTCTCTCCGATAATATAAAGGATGGAAATCGTGGACAATTCCGACTATCTTTTTCTGAGAAAAAAAAGTTAAAAAGTTAAACCCAGCATAGCAGATAAGATTTTTTTTAAAAACAAAAACAAACAAATAAAAAACGCCCACTCACTGTACTGTTTACGCTGCATGCTAACAAGTTTCGTTTTTCAACCCCGACCCCATTAAGCAGACCCACGACCCGATAAAAACATGCTTCATTGAGGGCCAGAGTCACAGCAGTACGCAAACAACTTAAATGTTGCACCATCAGCGCATTGCCCTCTTCCTTGCTGAACAAAACACTTTGTCATCAAAACTGAGTGACCTCTGAGAGTGATTGGGGAAAGGGAGGGCAGGAATAGAATGACGTGGG